AAGAGAGGAGATCCATATCATGCTGTAGAGAATAACTTCAGTTAGAAAGGAAACTTTTTTTTAGGGTAATGTGAAAGAAGAAAAAATAATTAGAAATGCAGTTTTTTAAAAAGTGTGATCCATTACTGACCAACACCATTGGAACTGGATAATAAATACATAAGGATTCACGGCATCATCCTCTCTAATTTTATTAATGTTTCAATTATTCTATAATGAAACAGTTGAAAAAATATTGACAGAAATGCTTGGGTAAGTAACCACTACATTATTCAGAAGATGACTGGGGAGTAGGAGGCAAAGTTGTGTGCTTAATGTGGACTGCAGTAAAGTGCAGTGCCAGTATACCATGTCTGTCCAGACTGGGTGCCACTTTCTATCCAGCTCTCTGCTAATGTTCCTGGCAAAGCAGCAAAAATGATTCAAGTGCTTGGTCTGACACTCATGGAGGAGACCCAGATGGAGTTTCAGGCTTATGGCTTTGGCCTGGCCCAATCACAGGTCATAGCCATTTCAGCCATTTATGGGCATGAACTACTAGATGGAAGATCTCTCTCTTTCATTGACTCTTCCTTTCCAATAAATCTCTTAAAAATGTTGTGAATTGAAGGCTTAGCAGGAGTGAAGCTTGAAATTGCTGCTGAATAAATGGAAGAGAGAGTTGAGGTCATAGGTTTAGCATTTCCAATGGTGAAATTTTTGTCTTGCAAGACTTTCATTAGGAGCTCTCAAAGGTGTAAGTGTAGTAGCTGTTGGGAAAATCTGTAACTGATTTTTTTAACAAACTGTCCAAATAAATATTAAGGAAAGTTTCAATGAGAACGATTCAGTATAGAGAATTGCTTCCCCTCAGTGAAAATACTATCATAATTTCTTTAAAACTTGAAAAATACTACAGTGGTTTTAGAATTTTACTCTAGATTCTGAAGAAAAAGGATTATTTTTGGAGTAAGATAATTTTTCCTTTTTTTTTAAAGTCCTCTTGGTGTATTGATATAACACGGATCATAAATATTTATAAGGAAATTGAATGATAGCATATAATAAAATAATCCAAATATATTTTTAGAAATATATTCGCATTTGAACTTACTTATTTTCTCTGTATTTAATAAGAGAGACTACATAAGAGAGATGTTGAATTAAATTTTTTAGAAGTTTCACAGGGCTGGCTAGATATGGACTGGAGGCTTGGTGCTAACAAAGATGAGCTAAGGGAGAGTAGAGGCTAGAGATTTTCCCCTAGAGAAGGGACTTCGAAAACTAAGCCTGTACTTTAGTATAATAGTATACTTGCAGATGTCCATAATTGTGACTGTTGCTCAACTTTTTTTTAGAAGTATTGTTAGTACAAGTTTATTTTGGTGCAAGAGTTTCTTGAAGTACATTCATAGTTTTTTTTTTTTTTCACAGAATGCATTTTTTTCCTGAGTTTTTTGAGGGCCTCCCCTTTTTAAAATTTTTTAAAGATTTATTTATTTATTTTAAGTTCTTTTTAAGTTATTATCATCATTCTATGATACAGTTCCATAGGCCCTGGGATTTCCCCTGCCTCTTGCTCAACTTTATCATCTCAATCACTGGACTTGGACTGAAGTGATTTCTCATTGCTAGCATCAATGTGCACTTGGTGGAATTAGATATAAATCCTCTTTGGAAGAAGATAGCATGAATTTGGATTTCAAATGACTTCTTGCAGCAACTTTGCAAAGACAATGTTGAGCGCACTGGAAGAAGCTGGCATGAAAATGGAATAACAGACCTGACATGACAAGCTGGCTCCATCTTAGGTGAGGCACAACCCCTCCCTCAACCCATGAAAACTACAACCTGACCAAGAAAACTGTATCATATTTGCAAGAATGCTTGACCCCCTGGCTGGGCTGTACAAGCATGAAGTAGGAAGAAAAATGAGTTTCACCTGGTTCAGCTACAAAAACCTGGGAACACCTCAGACAAAGTTTCTTTGGGGATCCTCCCAATCGAGCTTCCAGACTCAGAACACTAACCATCAAACTACAGAGGACAGAACGAGTCAACCAACAACCTCAGCTATATGTTGGCAATGAAAATACTGGGCAAACCGAGACGCTATGATGGACTATGTCAATCAGTGGAATCTCCAAAAAATGCATTGTGCTTTGAGTGGTGAGAGTGGCAGCAATTCAGAACTGTTGAACTATCAAAACCACTTGGGCAAGACTCTGGGAGCATGCCCCACATCAGGGACCTGGGGTGGGTGGGAGACTGGGTGGGGCTTCTCCCTTAAAATCTCCTTTTACTTCAGATATCCAAAGGAGACAATACGTAACTAATTGTCTTACCTGTCTTTCTGTAGTGCTTGAGCCTTTTTACCCTAATTATGTCAAGATTGTCAAAAATAATTAAAAAAAAAAGAGAGAGAGAGAGAGAAAGGCAATGCCTCCTAGGACTGAGAAAATGGCAGTTGACCAGGACTGGTCCAGTGTTTATCCAGTTGCAGCACCATTTAAACCCTCCGTGGTCCCTCTTCCTACTTGGATGGGTTACCCCACAAAGAAGGGCGTGCCCATGGCAAAGGAGGGAAATCTGGAACTGCTCAAGATCTCCAATCGTCTGCATTTGACTCCTGCAGCAATTAAAAAGCATTGTGAAGTTCTTAAAGAGTTCTGCACCGAGTGGCCAGCTGCACTTGACACTGATGAGACATGTGAGAGGCCTTTTTCAATCGAAGTTGACACAGCTACCCACGCCTCATGAGGACCATCCACGCACAGTAACCTTGAGGGTTAAACTTTCCAGTTTGAATTTAGACGACCATGCAAAGAAGAAATTGATCAAACTTATGGGAGAACGATACTGCCCGACCACCGACGTGCTCACCATCAGCACAGACAGGTATCCTTTAAAGAGACAGAATTTTGACTATGCGATGTATCTACTGACAGTTTTGTACCATGAGTATTGGAAAACTGAAGAATGGGAAAAACGGAAAACTCTTCCATGAGAGAGACATGGAAGAGTTATATATGGAAAATAGCTCCTCAGAAAAAAAAATATCCTGACGACGCTTCTTCAGATGAGAGCCGCCGAGGGCAGCGCGGGCGTCGGGGAGGAGGAGCTGCTGGCTGTTGAGGACATGCAGGCGCACGTGCGCTCCGTGGTCAGCCTGAAGAACGAGGGGGGCCAGCGAGCAGGCCCTTTCCCAGTACACAGAGTCCGTGAAGAGACTCTTACACGTGACGTGAATTTTGAAATGGAAGAATCTGCTTGACGTGTTCATTTTACAGCACATGTAATCAATCTATGTGATGTAACATTGAAAATATTAGAAGACTTGTTTAAGAAGATTAAACCAATGAACAACCCATTCCTAAAATGACAGGACCAAAGTATCACCCATACATATTAAACTCTGAATGTAAATGGCTTAAGCTCAATCAAACATCATAGATTAGTAGACTGGATTACAAAAACAAAACCCATCTGTTTATTGTCTGGAGGAGACACACTCCAACAAAGATCAGCAGAAACTATATCACATGGGTTTTGTAGTTTTCTGTTAGTTCTCATCTCTTCAAAACACTTTCTTCTGATTAAATCATTCAATGACTCTTAGATCATGCAGTGGCATCATTTTCTTCAAGAAGGTTCTTGATTTTCATTTCTTCAGCTACACGTTAGGCATTTAGTAGCATGTTATTTTACTTCATGGTGTTGTTAATTTCTTTTTTCTCCCTGATGTTGATTTTGTTTTGTGACTTTTCATTTAAGGGGATGTATAGTAGCTGTGTAATGGAGACTGTCATATCTAGTAACATGTCATTTAACTTCATGGCATTGTAAATTTCTATTTTTCTTTTTTTGTTGATTTTGTATCATGACTTTTCATTTGAGGGGATGTACAGTAGCTGTGAAATGGAGACTAACATCCAGATGTGAGGATGCAGTGTAGTATGCATTTCTGCTTCCAGACAAAGATGGACTTACAATGAAACTCTTTACTATATCTTGACAGTAGGATTCTGGATTCTCTGCCATTGTCCATGCCTGCAATGATGGACGTATGACTGAGTATGAAGAACTATATGTTAGTAATGATATAGAGGAACTAGGTGGGGGGAGGGAATTGGGGAGGGGATAAGGGAATATGGAACTGTATCATAAAATGCTAATAATAATAAAATGTAAAAAAAAAAAAAGAAGAAGATTGTTGTTTTTAAAAAAAGAGTTTTGGTTCAAGTCACTGCTATTCCACTTCTGAATTGGCTTGCTGCTAATGCTCCTGGGAAAGATGGGACAAGTGTTTGGATCCCTGCCACTCTCAGTGGAGGCCTGGATGGAGTTTCTGCCTCCCGGTTTCGGCCTAGCCAAGTTCAGGCCATTGTTACCATCTGGGGAGTGAACTAGCAGATGGATGACCCCTTCTCCCTCCACCTGCTCTCTATATCCCTGCCTTTGGAATAAAAAAAAAAAAAAAAAAAAAAAAAAAAAAAAAAAAAAAACAAAAAACAAAAAAACGGACGTTCTAAGACTGGCAAAACAAAACAAAATTAAGAAATTGATGAACAAGTTTAACTGCATATTGGAAAAGATGAAGGTGATTTAACGTACTTGAGTCACAACATACCCAGACTGAAACACTGAATTCTGGGAAAAAATGATAGAAATTATCCAAGGGAGACCACCATGGCTCAGGATTACATAAGGTCGCGTTCCCGGCTGTGATATACAACCCCTGCACAGGATGCCAAGCGACAGTGTGACAGCTGTCCTAGCAAACGGCGGAGTGGTGACCCACAATCCACTGGTGCGAGAAGTGGGGATTCACTTCAGCTTTGCAGCGGAGGGATCAGGCCTGGCTGACGCACGCTACGTCTCCAGCGTCCCCACGCACGACAGGGGGCGTCGCAGCCTCAGTGGTGCAGCCGCTTTACCTTACCGTCATTGTCGCGGCCGCCATTTTGCCCACTTCAAACCGCCACAGCCGCTTGAGAGCCAGGGTCCTTGCCGCTGCCGCTATGTCATCTCAGTTAGACCTGCGTGTAGCTGTGGTATGTTCAAACAACCAGAACCGGAGTATGGAGGCACACAGCATCCTCAGCAAACGGGGCTTCAGGGTCCAATCGTTTGGAACAGGGTCCCACGTGAAGCTTCCAGGACCCACATTCGACAAGCCAAACATCTACGATTTCAAAACCACTTATGAGGAGATGTACAACGATCTGGTGAAGAAAGACAAGACGCTCTACACCCAGAATGGAATTTTACATATGCTGGACCGAAACAGGCGGCTCAAGCCAAAGCCAGAGAAGTTCCAGCACTGTGAGGAGACATTCGATGTGATCCTCACTTGTGAGGAGAAAGTCTACGACCAAGTGGTGGAATACCTCAGCGTCAGAGAGCAGCAGACGTACCAGCCGGTGCATGTCATCAACGTGGACATCCAAGACAACTACGAAGAGGCCATCATCGGGGCGTTCCTCATCTGTGATCTCTGCCAGCGCCTTTCCCGCGCCAAAGACATGGAGAACGAGATGGAAGAACTGCTACAGGGATTGGAGGAAAAGAGCGGCCGGGACTTCCTGCACACCGTCTGCTTCTACTGAACTGAACTGTTTGTCCGGGTTGCGTCTCAAAAGACATTTTCTTAAGTTTCTTGTTACGAATATTTTTTCTTTCTTAATAATAGTTTTTACCTTTAGGTGTTCTACGTATGGACTATTGACGTTGGTTTTACCTACAGGAACTAACTGTGTATGAAATGAGAAGATAAGCATAACGCTACGTTAAAAACAAGGCTTGTTTTTTTTAAGCCTACTTCACTCAGGAGCATGACGTTGTGAAGTTTTTCTTTAACCAAACAATTAAATTAAGAAGCATTTATAGCACATTTTCTCCTAACATATGTGTGTCTTTATTTGTGCGTGCCTTTCCCTTTTCTTCTGTCCTGGCTGTCAGGTAAGTTACAGATACTTGTATGTAGCAGTAGTTTGCATGTTTAGAAAAGAATGTGAATTTTTTTTTATTAAAAAATTTCCGGGGCCCGGCGCGGTGGCGCAAGTGATTAAAGGTCCTCGCCTTGCACGCCCGGGATCCCATATGGGCACCGGTTCTATCCCAGCAGCCCCGCTTCCCTTCCAGCTCCCTGCCTGTGGCCCGGGAAAGCAGTCGAGGACCGCCCAAAGCTTTGGGAACCTGCACCCGCGTGGGAGACCTGGAAGAGGCTCCTGGCTTCGGACCGGCATAGTATCGGCCCGTTGCGCTCACTTGGGGAGTGAATCATCGGATGGAAGATCTTCCTCTCTGTCTCTCCTCTCTGTATATCTGCCTTTCCAATGAAAAAATAATAAAAATAAATCTTTAAAAAAAATTTAAAAATTCTGTTAGTTGTTAAAAATATTGTTTACTTTTTAGATTTTATTTTTGATATTGTTTACATATCTGAGAGAGATGCATGCCCATGAGAGCCTCCGATTAGAGTAGGGAGGGTCAGGTATGGAGGAAGGTGGGTGGCTCAAACGTTTCAGTTCCTCTTTTCTTTCTTTTTTCTCCTGTTTCCATAGTAGGGGAAGCGGAGGGGGCTGCTTCTTGCTGTCAAACTACATCAATAGCCAACTATGGGGATGGCGATTGTATGGCACCATAGAGACCCCATGGAGGAGGATGTTCCAAGGGTGTTACTTCAGTGGTTTTGATAGTTTTGGGACATTGCTTCATCGCACCAGGGTTGAGAAAACCTTTCCAAGGTCTTTTGGCTGACCAGGTCCACTTTAGTGCATCCACAGGCCCAGACACCTGCTGCAGTTTGGCCAGGAGAGTGGTCCAGCTTGGTCTGCTTTCCATCCTCTAATGACAAACTCAACATCTTCTGCGGCTTAGATGATCTGCTGTCATATCTCTTCCCCATGCCCCATGCATCTGGGCATGATGTCCACTGCACAGGCAACAGAGTAGGTCCAGTTCAGATACATGCACTCCAAGGTCATACCAAAAAACCTGTAATTTTCCCTGTGACTAGGGTCTGAACTCAGCAGTCTAGTTGGGGAGTTCTCCTGAGAAACTTACCAGGAATGACCCCAGACCTGACTCTTGCGTGGGCAAGCCTGTGCAGGGTCAGTTTTGGTCCATCACCTGCACTAGTCACTGCACTTACTAGTGCAAGCAGCTGCCTGGTTGGTTCCCTCCCCCAACCCCATCTCTCACGTGAACTGATGGGTGCTGTGACCTAGCCCAGCCCTGTCCAAGCAGGCCTGGTCTTCATGCACACCAACGGGTACTGTGGCCTAGTAGGAACAAACCCCAGTAACCTCACCAGGCATGACCCAGTCCCAGTTTTTGTGCAGGCCAGCTTGTACTGCAGCTTAGCCCAGCTTGGCTCACATCCCATCTAGCTCTTGTGCATGTTCATGGGTGCTTCAGCTTAGCTCAGCCTAACCCACCCCCAGATCTCACCCACACATATGCTGGAGTGTGCTGTTGCCTGGTCCAGCCTGGCCTGCCCCAGACCTGGCTCTCATGTTCACCAGCAGGGAGTAACAGCTTTGAACAGAAGCTGCTTAGTTCCTCAGCTCTAGCCAGTTGTCTTGCAAAAGAGGTTAAGAATAGACTGCAACTTCCTCTATGGTCTCTGTTTTCTCTCCTGTTGCTTTAATTTAGACAAAAAGAAGTCAATTTGGGCCCAGTATGATGGCTAAATTCTCACCTTGCATGAACCAGGATCCCATATGGAAGCTGGTTCGTGTGTGGCCTAGGTAAGCAATAGAGGATGGTCCAGCGCCTTGAGACCCTGTACCCACATGGGAGCCTCAGGAGAAGCTCCTGGCTCCTGGCTTCAGATCAGCTCAGCTCCAGCCATTGTGGCCATTTTGGGAGTAAACCAACAGATGGAAGATTTTTCCCTCTGTCTCTCCTTCACCTTGTAAATCTAATCTGCCTTTCTAATAAAAATAAATAACACTTTAAAAAAAAAACAAAGTCAGTTTATCTTAGGATTTCCTGAGGCTCTAATTCCCTGAAGGAGATGTGAACACTTCAATGGGTGGGAACCACGAGTGGGCAGTTTGCCATGGTTGTTGTGGTTCCTCCAACTACATCACTGAGAGAACCAGGTGGAGAGCATGAAGTGGTGACTAATGAGCAGCCGAGTGGGAAGAACACAGAAAGAAAATGTTCTCATTGTTCTAGATAGTCTCAAGAAAATCTTGCTTTCCCTGAGTGGACTGCCCCCCCCCAAAGTGTCACAGCCAAGATGATTCCTGATACCCTTATTTGCCTTACTTTTCATATTCACTGTTACCCTCAACATTGAACTTTGGATTTTCACCAAGCCAAGCCTCTCCATTTGCCATCATAATCAAATGTGACCCTCTCCTGTGCTTTGGACCCCCTGCTTCCTTAGTCAGCTTTGTCCCACAGAACCTGAGCTGATGTGCATGTTTGCTCTAGCAGTGTCCCAGAGAGAAGCAAACACATTGGCAGGTTCAAGAAGCTAAGAACCTCACAAGTGTCACTTTCCAGCAGTGAAGCCTGGACTCCTCTAGAAAAGGTGGCACCTTGAAAGAGCTGCAAGGATTTGAGCAAACACAGTACTTTGTCCCACTTGTTTACCTCGACGACAGTCTCACTCAGGGCTAATTCAGGCTGTTTGGAATTTTGCTTCCATGTATGGGCAGACTTGTGGGCTTATTTAGGAGAGGAACCATGCTCATCTGGCTCCTCATCATGCCCACCCACATATAACACCCCCCTCCCAACACCTGTGTCTGGCACAAAAAGTTCTGCAAGTGTTCCCCAGACTTAATGAGAGTAAGTGCACAATTGTGGATTTTTCTCACATTAAATCTGCAGATAGCAAGAAGTACTTTTCTGTTTAATAGCAGCCCTTTAAAAAAACAGTTTTAATATTTGTTGAGTGCTGTGTAATCATTCAATAACTAATTCTCATAGTATCTGGTAGAATTAGTTATTGTCAGGAAAGATCTGTGGATAAAGCAATTATATTGAAACTCTGATTCAAGAACATTGGAGATAACAAAATTTAGATTTGACCTTTAGATGGAAATTTCTGAAAGCTAGATGTAAGCCAGGTTATGCTTAAAGATGTTAATCAACAACAGTGATAGCAAAGCTTTTGGGGTGGCTATATTCTAATTGGAAGTCCTCAGCTATGCACTTACCACATTTGCCATTCCTAACAAGGCATATTTTGATAAAAGGAGAAAAAAGCTGTCTTTTTAAATTCCCTATTGAATTCTGCTCTCAAGTGTTCTTCCTCATTCCCTGTCCCAATTAAGGGCCCTAATCTTCCAAGTGCATCAAGGTTATAACTACCCTTTCTTGTTCATGCACACTGTCTCCATCAACAAGTGCAATCCAGCTTCTTATTTCTGTTGCAGTCTTTCACCGGTACCACTCCAGCACCAGCCCTTGCCCAGAAGAGGGAAACCAGACCCTTACATTTTCTCTCCATAGCTGTTCCTATTTCCTTACAATCTGTACTCCTTAGCTCGGTATCTTTAACGCTCTAGTTGTTTATAAACGCAAACTAGCTCATGTCATATAGCTGTCTATCAATGCATTTTAAATAAAATGGAAACTCTTTTCAAGGCTTCTGGGTTCCTCATGATTTACTTCCTCTTTGGCCTTGAATTCCTTCGCTTTTTCCTTTTTCCTTTTACTTGTTTTCTGTAACCTTGGCATTACAATCCAACCTTTGCAGCCAACTTAATATTCCTTAAATATGCATGCTAGACATATTTATGTCTGAATCTTCATATTTGCTGTGTGTGTTGATCCTTGTTCCATTGGTGCTAGCATCATTATTCAGACAACAGGTGCTTAATGAAATGACTAAAATCTATAGAGTACTAAAAGTTACTACTGCTCCTTTGTCAATCCATTTCTTCCACAGCCTTGAATGAAATCTTGGGCAGATCCCATAGCTTATTTGATTGTTTTCAAATAGGAAAAGCTCCAGTAAAATTGGAACTCGTGATTCTCAATAAGTGAGGCACCACTTAGCGGAGAGCATTGGAAATGTGTACAATACATTTGTGGTGATGGCAGGGTGTGATATTCAGTGGCATTGGCTAAAGGGCCACCCAAACCCCCAAACCAGGCTTTCTTCCAGGAAGTGATCACTTGTTCTATGCACTGTATGGTTTCCAGATTTCCTACTGAGCAATCACACACATGTAAAACATAAACACAAACTATCTTTTGCCTTCATTTACTGCATATTAGATTTTCCCAAATTATAAGCACTGCATAAGTCAAAGGACAATGCATTGTGCTGTTCAGAACACCCAGAGTTGGTCTTCTTTCAGAAAACTATTTTAGCAACAGAAGTAGTATCTCTGATACATGAAAAACCATTCTGACACTTTTATATCAGACATATTTAGCAGCAGTTTAGTATATATATTAGAATACACTTAGTCCTTATTTTAAGTGGTTAAATATAAAGATATTAACTAAAGGTAACTGAATATTGTTGCTTTCATTTGGACTGCTTGATTCTGTGTAGTTGCAAGCACTGATTTCATCATGTTATCTTGTGTAATCATGCCAAAGCATTTCTGTATTGAGATGTGTGTTCTTTTGGAGT